GATACAACGTAAATGTAATTTAATATATCCGCAAGCCAGGATGCGATCCCCAAAAAAACTTAATTCACTGATCTATTTTTTAGTTGACCTCGTATTTACAATTTGGTCTGAGCGGCAGAAAAACTTTGTGAAACACACCTATTCCCGCGTCCTCTGACATATTATTCAAATACCAGGTCAAATGATCGATGCTGGAAAATATCGTGAATACTATGGCGGAGGAAGCAGTACTAGTTGTTCCACAAAGTCTCTGTCACTCTGGACAAGTTACAAAAACGAGATTAAGCCAGAGTCAAGAGACTACGACCAAGCGTAAGGATAAAGTTAAATGGTCTTCATATATAAGATAAATAATTTATCGTCCTTTATTTTCTAAACTGCAAGGAAAATTTGGGCTAAAAAGTAGGCTATGCACAGATAGATTCATTGTGCAGAAGAAAATTTGGATAACAAAACTGAGATTCAAGAAGTACCTGAATTCACGAAACTTTTGGTTAGAAAGTGCCTTTATTGGGCTGGTGTAAATAGCACGACTTCCACGGCGCTTACAAAGTGCACATGCATATTCTGCCACGACAGTTTTCCCAGCTGATGTATGCGCGGCTACAAAAACAGACTGATTCTGTTCAAGACATATTATCGCCTGTTTTTGAAATGCATCCAGTTCAAACGGCCATGTTCGGGCGGGATTAGGTACCAGTTCAGTAAAATTGAGAGACCCTTCGTTTGCATTCTCCTTTAAAAAAATTAAGTCAAGTTTGGACAAGGGTGAAGAACAATATTTATTTAAGATGGGAAGACATAGTATATAAAATATAACAAATGATTTACTTATTTAAAATTAAGAACAGGCTAATGTGAGCTTTATTTGGAATTAATGCGTGGGTAAGGGAGGAATAATCACGGCAGAGACTGGTAAATTAGCAGTCTATATAGCGACAAGGTTTAATAAACAATGCTTTTTATATGATATGGTGTAATATTCTATTGAGGAGAGAATGTTTGAAATTGTAGGAACATTTT